AATCGTCTATCTAAGACTGGACCACCTTTTAGGGTATCCCAATGTTTCTGTAGGATATCCCTAATAATGTGCGTCTGGGAACTATATTGAGTGATGAAAGCTGGTGTGATTTTGTTCTCTGTAATGTGGTGGTCTTTTGATATGGGGATTTCCTCTCTTGGTAGTGCGAGAGCCCACTCCATGGTATTCTCTAAGAACAGAAATATCCTTTAATTAATAATAAAAAAAAAAGACTATTTCTTCTTCTTCAAAACCTCTAGTTCTGAGGTGTTCTTTTTGAATTGGCTGAATGGTACGTTATCTATCCATGAGCACTTGGGTTGTTTCTCTATTTTAGCAACACTATTTTGGATTGAACATATTCCAATTAGAATTTTTCTTTTTAGCACTACTACAAGTTTTAGCAACACCACTTTTCATTTAAATGACATTACAAACTTAGGGTTATGTTTAAAATTTCCAGTTGCTATATATGAATATATTTTATTATACATGTCTTTTTATTATATGTATTCCATTGTGGGTAACAGTATCTTCTACACCAGGAGTGGCAAATACCTAGAACCCCAAATGTTGTAGAACCACAATTGTCATGATGTTTTGCATGCCTTTAGAATAACAAAGCATCAATGAATCTGGGGATCTACCTTTTGGGCACCCCTGCCCTACACAATGTGTTTTGTGACATTCTGTAAGGTTTTATGTTTGGTTGTAACAATTCAATATACTATATTCCTATAATAACCCTTGTTTTGGGTTGAGATTTTGCAGTATTAGTTTTTAATCATAAGCCATATGCACTGTGACAGATTCTGTCATGGACCCAGGGTTGCAGAATATGGGTTCCTCTTGATTGGGAGTGAATTTTACAAGGAGCCTTCGTTGTTTCAAGCTGTTATGGACCAAATAGAGTTAAATATTTGATTGATTTTTTGGTGGGGCTGATTGTTGTTTTCAGCAAGAAAAACTAGGAATTATGGGAAGAAGACTTGATGGGGGAAATGTATGTTTATTACTCTATTGAATGCAAATGACCCTCTTTGTGTATAAATACCTCTGCACAGCTTCAATAAAATGAGTTCTTGTGCCCAGCACTATGTGTCATCTAGTATATGTGGAGAGCTATAATCACTAATGTGCAATTTCCTCCTGGAATAAGAAAACCACAACGGAGGTACTCAGCTTGAGTACTGAGCTCCGCTACATGCACAATCCAATAATAATGAGACTCCGGGCACAATTTACAACCAAGAATCAAAAAGAGCACACTAGTTCATTAAATTTTTCGGTAGGTTTTTGATTCAGCTGAATTTCGTCTGGGTGTTTGGGAATTCGGAAAGGTCCAAGTGTACATCATATAAACTTATTGCAATGCTATGCCCCTGAACACAATAAAATCTCAAAGCACTTTAAAACAAAATATAAACCCAAGCAACTTACCCTACTATTTAGAATCTCTGAACAGATGGGTCATGGAGTGCATGTCAATAAAGGTGTTTTTAGCTTAAACACATTTGTAACACTCTAAATACCAATACACTAATTTATGCCCGTGTTAAAGGAACACTATCGTGTTAAGAGTAAAAAAAAACAAAACTGTATTCCTAACACTACAGTGCCCTCCTCCTGGCAGAAAAAGAACTAAAAACCACTTTGTACACTTAACTGATTGAAGTGCCAAGGCACCTCGGTGTTGGGTCCGGCCCCTCCTTTGACATCAGCCAATTGGGGGTGGGATCCTAATGCGCACGCGTGCACATTAAGCTTTCCCCATAGAAAAGCATTGATTCAATGCTTTTTTATTGGGATCTAGAAGACGCTGGACATGCTCATGCAAAGCATTAGGACGTCCAGTGTCGTTTCACAGAACCAAACTCTGAAAAGGACCAGGAAGCCCCTCTAGAGGCAGTCATGAGTGGCAACTTAACTGTTCAATGTAAACATTGTAGTTTCTCTGAAACTGCAATGTTTGCAGCTGCACGCCTGAAATGACAGACATAGTGTGTACCTTTAAAATAAAAAATAAATCAACCACATAATGAAAGAGAGAGAGAGGGGCAGACATTCTGCCATTATCTTTGTAAAGCCCTGTCATGTTTGTCACACACAGTAGATGCATTTAGAATGTTATATAAGAAGCATTGGGCTGCCATTATATCCTATTCTCAGAGTAGAATTAATTGCTTTACGTTAGTCTGGCTCACAGCATTTTTCATACAGTATATTTTCTAGTTGCCATTGTTTTTCTCATATTTCACTTGAACTGAGCTGTTGTACAATAATGAATTAAGATTCATGTATTTTTTTTTTCTTTCTTCCAAGTGTGTTATGCAAAATGATTACCCACAAATTTAAACTACAACAGGTGGTTTCAAATGTGTACGTATTAATCAATATTTTCAGCACTTGAGCAGAAATGCTGTAAGAACCCCAGACCTTATCTATTTAAAGTACAATAATTCTAGAAACATAGAATGTGACAGCAGATAACCATTCGGCCCATCTAGTCTGCCCAATTTCTAAATACTTTCATTAGTCCCTGGCCTTATCTTATAGCTAGGATAGCCTTATGCATATCCCATACATGCTTACTGTGTTAACCTCTACCACTTCAGCTGGAAGGCTATTCCATGGATCCACTACCCTCTCAGTAAAGTAATACTTCCTGATATTATTAAACCTTTTCCCCTCTAATTCAAGGCTACGTCCTCTTGTTGTGGTAGTTTTTCTTCTTTTAAATAGTCTCCTTTACTGTGTTGATTCCCTTTATGTATTTAAATGTTTCTATCATATCATCCCGTCTTGTCTTTCCTCCAAGCTATACATGTTAAGTTCCTTTTAACCTTTCCTTGTAAGTTTTATCCTGCAATCCATGAACCAGTTTTTTAGCCCTTCTCTAATGTTGTATGAGTGTAGGGGCCATGTACCCAGTTTTCTGTCAAACCATTTTGAGCAGTTTGACAAAACTGTGACCCCCTCTGCAGCTCTATGGCTTTAGATTTTTGTGCAGTTGCAGATGGGTCAGGTTGTGTGTGCCAGAGAGAATAATTTTTATCAAACCAGAACAGGGAACTGCACCTATAGACTCTTTGCTGTAGTGGCTATGGCACTTAAAGTGTCCCTTTAAAGATCCTTAGAACGACTGCAGCAAATAAAGCAGGCGACTGCTTATAATCATTATGTACTATCATTCACTGCAGTCACGCTGTCTAATTGATCCTGAAATTCAAGAATTTTACTTGGGTGGATGTAGAAATACCGTTTTACACAACGATCATATGGTGAAAATGCTCCATTCAAGACACAATAGAACCATTCTTTCAGCAACTAACAGGCTAATATTATTCACCTCACCATAAACCAGGTGGAGAAAGGGTATTTGTCAAGCTCCACTACAAAATTGGGAAATATGAGAACACTGTTTGGAGAGAGGGTGCAGCAAAACCCGCTCTGATTCTTGGGGCCCATATTTGCTTTTCTTTTTCTACATTCTAAATCCTCTTTTTCTTTAGTATAGACTACCAGTATGTCTATAAAGGCATTTAAATACACATTCTGGAAAAAAAAAAAACTAACTAAAGCAGAAGAATGCTGTTAAAAATCCCCATCACAAGACCATGCCAGTCCCTCCCTCCCTATCGTCAATACATTAAACACAGATCTGCACCCAAGTCAAGCCATAAGACTTGCTTTTCCCAATGAAATCTTGACTTTGCAGTGATGTTACTACTGCAAGGGATTTTCGGTGGACATATGCAAATTCGTTCAACAAAATCATATTTTTGTCTCATTCAATTTTAAACATGGATTCCTTGGAATTTGTTTGCTGTATACAACAGCTTTGAAACGACTCAGGAAGAGATGCAAAGCCAGTAAAATCCTTATGGCTTGACTTGTGTGCAGATATGTTTAACAATGTACTGACTTATCCACTGACCTCAGGTGGAAGGGGTTTTTAAAATCACATTTTTTTTCCCACACCATAACACTTCGTTTCCCCTCTCTCATAAATAAACACCTCTTTGGATACGTGAATACCAGAGCCCTGGTTATTTAGCATCTGGCAATAAAGGGACATTTAAGCATGAGTGCAAGAGACTTTCTTTGGTTTATAAATATGTTTGTATAAGTTCAGGTAAAACACAGGGCAGAGGTTTAATATTCAGTCTTTGGTCTGTAAAACGGAAAGCTCTTCTTGCCAACATTTCATGTGGTGAAGCTAAAGGTCCATTCTTACTGTACTTTTCAATGCCTACTGTTTATGACAACATATACTAATGAGTTAGTCCCTCCCCTTACAGTCAGCAGGCAAGAAAAATAGCTTTAAATGGTACCTCTCTGGTCATGTGATCTGCACTCTATGTCAAAATCCAAAAACGTATTGAGACCTTACTAGTAGTACAAGGCTAGGGATTTTGATCCATGATTTAATAGTTGATGTTTTATATGCTCAGTGACCGTTACATAGCCATTATTTCTAAAAGGAATACTCACGAGTACTTTTTCAAGGTCGAGAGAGCTTTGTTTTGTTACTATGGTTAAATATAAATGCTATCATTTTTAACACTGACAGAAGACAGGAAAAAGTTACATGTCTGGCCATAACCAATGTAGTTCTTAAATATACTGACATTTCCCCCCCACCCCTCTCCCCATACTGCCTACAAATTACAACAATCCACATCTGTTGAATTGTTTGCTCAATGTCATATACAACCACAGCAATTTCAGTGTGCATGTGATGTTTTATTACACTTTAATCCACTATATTGCAAGAAGTTGAAAACCGAAAAAAATTATTTTAGGGCAAAACAGCTGTATTGGGGGAGGAATCTCACCCATTGTATAAAACAGCTCTGAAACATAGGCCTTAAAATTTGCAATTGCCATGACAATTCTCCCCAACTTCCACGCTTAGTGAAAAAAGTGTGTGTTTAAGCACTGAAATATTAAAAGAAACATAACACAAACAAATTAATTTGTGTTGACTGCCATTGACTGAAAAAGTTGGAAAAGAGTAATGTTATAAATACAACAGTGGTAGCTAAAAAAAGAAAAACAAAACAAAAAAAAATGTCCGGTGTTGAATACACACTAGTCACACAACTAACAAGCAAGCATCTGTGAAGACACGTAACCAACTAATGTAGAACTGATCAGAAATGGTGCAGTCCAGATCTCTAGACTACAGACTTCTAGAGGCAAGCAGGTCTACAAATGCAGGAAGCATGCTGTGAATATAATGAAGCGCTCACATGGGCTTTAACAGCTACTGAATCACCTCACCAGCAGATTTCTAGGCAAATTTTAAACCCTGCTTGGTTTCAGAGGGTTGTGCACATGTCAATAAAAGCATAAAAATGTGCTGCTTCAGCTTTTTAAAACAGTGGAAGCCGAGAATCCTATCTTAGAAGTGTGAATGGTAATAAGCCTTGGAAATGTCAGCTTTTCTGGCCTCATTTTGCTAGTACCGTTTAAAAGAAAATTGATTGCTTTCTAGTAGAAACAGGTTTATACAAAGCAAACACATGCAAAACTAAACTTTTTATTCAGTTCACGGGAAAAAAAAAAAAAAAGTATGTTATATCTGCAATCACTTGTTTTATTACATTTCAATGAGTGGGGAGAAAAAAGTTAAATAAAAAGAGAAAGCACAGAAGTCCTCCCCCACCCCCTCCAAAAAAACAAAAACAAAAAAAAAACCATGTATAAAGCAGCATGAACATCAGAAATGCTGTAAATGTACAGAACACACACTTCTGCAATTACAACTGTCAAAAAGAGAAGAGTAGGAAATCACAATATTAATTTAAATGAAAAATAAAGCAAAGCTTTGTAGTTGGCCAGATTTCCCCAGAGGCCACAGAGTCAATGCTTATCAGAGCTCCTCAGAAGAGACAATTTTGATTAATATCAGGACCATCTGACTCAGTCTATTAAACCCCGAAGGAAAGTCTTCAGATAGAAGAGATAGGTCTTTGATTAATAATTCTTCCATATTGTCATTCCCAGCATTTGCAAACAGTATGGCACATCTACCCATATCAAGCAGAGACTCACAATAGAGACAGGAAGCCCCAGGTCTTTGGAGGAGGAAAAGGCATTCTGAATTGGCAGATAGCGTATGGAACCTTTAAATGTGCTAAGAGGGGTTGTGGGTGGGCATCAAATTGCTCTGCAGCAGCCAATTACTTCTCTGGATGCCAATTAAGTCCTGTTTGATTGTAATTAAGCTTTAATAAAAATTAGCATAAGAAGAGAGGAGCTCAGGAAGTCAAGTTTAAGAGTTACAATTATATAAACACTGACAATACTGGATCAAGGTACAAGCACTACTCAATCTTAAGCTCTTTTGTAAATGGGCCATTACATTCTGCCTCTCTCGAATTCCTGCCTGTCTATACTAAATGTAGGTAAAAATATATGTTCTTATCATATGAAAACATTTAGTCTTCTGGGTTGTGAAAGGTGGATTCAGAGTCCATGTATATGTTTTATGTAATCCAGTAGGGCCTTGCATGTTTTCCTTAAAAGGTATGTAATGGCATCAATACCAGGGATTTTTGCCTTGGTGGTGGTAACGTGTGTTTAGTAATTTGCCTCCTTCACGTCAGACCACTTGAGCGCCTAATTTTCTTATATTCAGGATTAAACGTCTGGAATAATCTTTATGGTCGACAGGCTTCACATCCATAGCAGTGGCCTTTATACGGGATTCATCCTTTAAAAAGGAAAAACAAATACAAAAGGAAAGAAATGATTATCTGGTTAACAGGATAACAAAATGTTTTAATTTTGTAACAAGCAAAAGTTAGGTATTTATCATTAGATTACCAACAGATTGCAGGTCTGTATGAAACACTGCAAATAGTTGTAGCATATTTTGGTCAAATTACAATGTGCATTTACTTATATACATACATGCACGCACTTATTTTTTAATAAGCATTTATAAAGCACCGATAATAGAAAGGGCATATTTAGAGGTGAACTAGGCCCACTCAAACAAGCTTACAATCTATGAATATTAGAGATAGACGGAAATATATAATTGGGTATTTTGCTATCTGAAGCTAAAGCAACGAAACATTGGGAATATTATGTTAACTAATTATACAGCAAAATAACACAAGGTACTCACCTTTACCCAAGTATAAAGTTACCTTAGCATATGTGTGTGTGTTTGTAAAGAGAGAGACCTAATATCGGTAACCTTCTAACAGATTATAAACACTACAGTCTGCTGAACACATACCCCACACATTCTTCTTAGATCTATGATTGGGGTTGCTTTTACCTGTTCATATTATGGACCTTTTATGTTCTATTTAGTACATTTATATAATTGCATGTTCATTATCCATGTCATCAAGAAATAAGTTTAGAGTGCATAGTCACATATTTAGGAGTTAACACTCCCTTAGATATTTAAGACAATGTGAGGTATGCCTCCTACATGTGCGACTCCCTGAGGAAGCTGGCCATGTAGTCCTGGTAACATTAGAACAGTCA